GCTTTGAAATCAACTAATGAGGAAGTAGTGTTGATTGTTTAATTTCTAATCTTTTGTTAAACAAAAAGAACAACAGAAGGGAATTAACTTCCCAACAATCTTTTCCCTGTAATTAGAACCTTTTTATTATTTACCAAATAAACAGAAAGAAATAGAAACATATTTCCGTGTCAGGATATTATACCCTGTCTGTTATGTTTTGCACACCTGAAAAAAAATGTTAATAGAAATAATTGTTGTCATGTTAGCATCACCAGTTTCAAGCTGTCTGAAACAATTTTACATTCTCAATAAGGAATATTTAACATTTGAACCAAAAACAGTGCAGCACGAATAATTAAAGGCTTAAGTTAAATACATAGACAGTCATTTAAATTTAGATCTGCAATAACATTTACTATTATTCTCTAAGGCTTTGACTGTGCTTGACAGAAACAAAGTACTCTGGGATTAATTTCAAGAAATGGTGCCAACTGTGCGCAATTTGCTGTAATTAAGACATGAAAGAGTACTAAATATTCAGATTAAAAGAAGCATGATGGAGCATGATAGAGAATCAAGGTGTGGCATCAAGCCAATAAAGCACAGTCAGTCATGAATACTCAATAGTGATTGATATGAAACTTATGCTTATAAACTTGTAGCATGTACTTAACAACTGTGCAGATAAAAATTAAAACCATGACACTGTGTCTTATGGAAAAGGGCTCTTCTAAATCCAAAGTGTGTGTGACATCTTCAAACAATATCAAAACAGAGCCCAATAATGTATTTTTACACAAATAAGATATTTAAACAATGAAAGGGGAGGAAAAAAGGTAGCATGGTAGTCCTTATCCTTTGGGATATCCCAATACTTTGGGATATCCCTATGGCTACATCAACCTACAGCATTCACCAGAGTGCCAAATGAAAGAGATCTGTAGCAGTTGGAACCAAGAGATTAAGTACCCCCTCCTTTTTTTTTTTTATTCATCAAACATTTTCCATTTTTTTTTAAAGGAAAAGTATTCATTTAGATCAAACTGCATTTCCCATTTTTCTCTCAGAATTAGATGGAATATTTCTTCTTGCCTTTGAACTTATAAGTATTGATTAATGATGTATTTATTGTAATACTGAATCTTTCCTTCAACAGACTTTTCTAAATTAAAGTCCTTGTAACTTTTGATCCTAGAGGAGATGTGGGTACTTGACCCAATTGCTAATGAGGTGCTGTATAATCTCATGTATCCCATAGCTCAAAATAGCAGGATGCAGTATAAAAAGTACATCATAAAAAGCCCTCTTGGAATGCTTTTTGTCTTCACAGGCAATACGCAAAAGAGATGACCTTCTGAGAAAGTCGGAAGCCGATTTCCTGCGGGCAAGGGAAGGTATCAAAGCAAAAGTGGCTGAGGTGGAGCACCTTGACAGTGTGGTCAAGAAACTGAAAGCCAGTATCCAGGACACACAGAAAGAAAAGAATCAGACAGAGACAGAAACCACCATACTGAGAACTGAGATTCAGCTGCTAAATCAGTAACTGCAGGGTGTGCATAAGCAGTGTAGAAAGACAGGTAATAACGTACAAAAATAGTAATATTACAAAAATATGAATTTTTTACAGTCTAATGGAATAGAATTTTCAATCATATGGGTATATGATTGTTGCAATCAAATGAATATAAAAGGTTCCTTGTTCAGCTCTAGGGTAAATTTACAGATACAGACTGTGACTTCATCAAAACAAAATAAACACAACTGGTTTGGGGTTTTTTTTTTGTAGTTCAATTTCTGTCCTATAATCCTTGTATTGATTTGGTGAAACATCTGTTTCTGTCCCAGAACACCTGTTTATTCATTCGCAATGCAAAATTTAATTTGAAGTTAACAAGTTTTATATAATTCTTAATATTTTAAGTCACTTTTTAAATGGATAGGATGAATCCCTGTATAGATGAGTTAACAGCTTTAGCAATAGTGCATTGATAATAAGGATTTTTTTTTTCCAGGAGAGTAGTGTACACAAATGCAAAACAAGATGGAAAAAAACAAGGAATCATTTCAGTATGGACAATAAACTGCTTTAAATAATTTTTACTTAGTACTTTTGGTTTTCACACTGAACACGTGAGCCAGAACTAGTTTTCAAAATAAGCAAATGCAGCAAGGAAATTGCATTATTAATATTTTGAAGTCACAGTATAGTAGAGCTTGAAATATACTACTTTTACCAAATAAAATATTAATGAAGTCATTTGGAACATAATAGACAGCCTGTGTCAACCCCTTAATTTTCTCTTCCACTATTCACAACATTGCCAGATACGTGTTTCTGGATAAAACCCCCTAGAGGTCTGCTGCAAATTCTTTTTCAATACAACCAGATCATTGCAGATAATTGTATTACACAGGGTATTGATCCAAAATCGTTGTGCACCGGAAACATCTGAAAAAACATGATTATAGCTTTCTGGTTATTGTTCGTACATCATATAAGCAGGCTTTTGTGTGAATCACCTGTAAGAAAGGCAAGGTGGAAACATCAGAGAAATTACCTCTTTACAAGAATCTATTGATCACTTTAAATCAAAGAAGTATGTTTGACATAAGATTACCTGCCAGTTTGAACATTAGGTACACTATGTTATAGCCTGGGGCAGTTGTAAGTCTGACAAAGGGATTGTAAATAAAGCATGCAGCTGCTAGCGCCTCTGGCTTGGGATCAACCAAGGCTCAAGTCCAAGGCATAGGTAAACTTAAAATAATTTAACCCTTTTTTACCAGGATATATTGTGAGTTGAACCTGATTATTAAAAGTAGTGATTAAGCCACCTCCTCTATGTTTAAATAGCTATATAATTGCAAAAAAAAATATACATTGTTGGATCTCTTTACAAATCAAAGCAGATATAAGAAAAATAAATTTTGGAAGATTAGTCTGTCTCCACACAACAGATCACAGCTCTAAACTATTCCTAAGAACTTCTAAAACATTGTTAAAGATCTGCTTTTGGATAATACATAGAATGCTATCTCACAAAATTACAGGAACTTAATAAGTTCTAAAATTCAAATAAACTTCATTTTTTATATAAGGAATTGTCTTCTGGAAAATCAATTAAACAGATCAACAACTAGAAAACTTTTAATGGCAGAGGTTTATATTACATGTGAAATATTTACCCTTCTTCTGATTTTAAACCCCAATCAAATATTAGGAGCCCACAAATAAATAAAGTTATTCAAATAAGTAGTCATATTAGTTCCATCTGAGACCATCTGCCACACTAAAGTTATTTAAAAATGCATATTGCAAAACTGGGTCCAAAATTCACTGGCAAATAGAATTTTTTATGTATTTTAATTCTTATTGAATGATGACAATTTAGGTTTGACTTTACCAGTACTGCTCATTTTCTATATATGAAAACAATTCGGTTATACATTGTTTTTTAAGCTGTATATTTTTTTAAGCACGTGTTGACGCTAATAACTGTTTAACTCATTAGTTCACAAAGATTTGGATTTTCTTGATCTTCAGTAAGGATGAGCTCTGGGTGAAATCTACTGCTTGTTAAACATTTAGTTGTTAACGTTAGCTGTGCATCTTTCTGAGGCACAAATTTAAATTTAAACATTTTATATACAGTACTTTTACTCATGGAAATGGTGGCTGTCCTTGTGTTTTGTGAGAAATTGGGTTATGTTACTGTCAATTAGAAAGCAACAAAGCAATTTTTTTATATAAGGAAATTGATCTTCCGAATAATCTGAATTCATAGAGGAAGATATGATAGCTGAATTTAGATCCTGTGCATACAGTGAACATTGTCAGACATTAAAGACAATAAATGCAGAATCATGTTAACAGAGCACAAATGTTTTTCTTTAAGGGATTCTATCAATCTAAGCCTGGAAGATACTGATTCCTGACTTCATTGAAGTCTGGTGTATTTTCACTCTTTAATATTACATTAAAAACAGGGGTTTTAATTTATGATCACATAAAAATACCTCTGTTATACTTATTGAACTGCTATCACTAAAAGATTCTTAATTTCTTATATTTTTCTGGTGTCAAATTTCAAAATAATTTGAATACTGCATAGTAAAGGAATTGAGTGCTATAAAATGCTTGTTGTGAAACTAGTTTTAATGCTTAGCTTTATTCCACGATATCCTAGACCTGTTAACTACATGTGCCTATACATCTAAAGCCATACATTTATGTAAGAGCATAAAAACAAATACATGTGTGTGTATTTGTGTCTGTGCAGGAATACATACTCCTGCACACTAACACAAACATATCTGTGCACATACTAAGGGCTAAATATTTAAATTTAAGCCTATGTACATATATCTTTTAGGAAAATGGTCAACAAAGAACAAAGGAAAAATGTCTTTGTCTTAAATCACTTATTTTTCTGAGAGCTGGCGGTGCTCGGCTATGGTTTCTTTTGGTCTAAGGAAAGATTGCCATCTATTGGATGACCTTGGAAAAGAACGGGTTTTTACTATGCATGTGCTCTGTAATTCATGAAAAAATATAATGAAATTGAAGACTTCAAGCTTAAATTGTACATGTTACTATTGTTAAATGGTATAAAAGCTGCTTTATTTTAAAAACTGTGATTTTGAATTCTAGATTGACTTATGCTGCAAAATACAGAGGTAATAGGTGTTTGCTTTAGAAGGAATGAAATACTGGATGTGCATGTATACAGTAAGCTCTGGTAGCAGTTCAAATGTTTTCAGAATATTGAATCCAAGTTTCTTTATTTGAGTTTTCTGTAATACAATGAAAGAGACTTAACCCAGCTATTAATACATTTATAATTTATTTTCCTCTCAAGATTTGGGAACGGACTGATTCTCTTCTCCTGAAAATAGTATTTGCCCAGCTCTTACAGAGGGTTGCACTGCATTGCATTTGAAACAAAAATATCACTCTGCTTAAGCTTAAAACATAAAGCTTGCTCTTTTTTTTTGCTTTTTTTTTTAAACTTAGAGCCCAAGAACTTGCCAGTCAAGATGAAAAACTTCTTCTAATGGAATCCAGCTTGAAAGCAACTCAAGAGCAGCTAAGTGAGCAAATAGCAGAAACAGTTCGCCAAGAACAGAACAGTAGAAAATCACAGACGGAGAGCTGAAGACCCTGAGAAAACATACTCTAACTTCTGAAGAAGAAATTAGTGATTACAAGTGAGTTACTTCTTTTTTTGGTATTTGAGAAACAAAAGAAATTAAAGTCAGCAGTAAATCCTTTTAAAATGTACTGTATTAATTGTTTCTCTCAGGTAAGAAGCAGTGTAAATGTGTTCTGTAACTCTACTGAATAAACTATTACATTTAAATGATAGATTAATGTATGTTTTAAAATCTGTCCTGCACTTAAAAAATTGCGTGTTGAGAAATACTATTTTTAGGAGTCTGGTTTATTTCTAAAATTAATATTCTGTAGTGTTGAAATAGAAGAGTATGTGTAGTTGTTTATTACCTATCTGTTAATGGTATTCTCATCTTCCTCTTTTTAGAGACCAAAGGTTACATATGGGTCTTATTGTCTTTCTTTTTTTGTTAGAGAAGCTGCCTCTAAGCAAGAGGCTACCAAATTAAAGAAAATTCAGTGTTTGAACTTTTAGTCACAATAGCAAGGCATACATGAAGTTGTTAACATAAACCAAAAAAAGCAAACTGTATACTTTAGAAGAGTTTACACAGAAAAAAGTGACTTTGTCTAATCAGCCAAATTAAGTATCTATTAGATTGAAGACTAACTCTAAGGATTTAATCAAAAAGTAATTGTTCAAAATTATATTTAATAGTTTAGCTTAATATTAACTATATTTTATATTAAGCCACAAAGTGACTCATTAGAGTTCTTGTGATTTAGACTATGCTAAAAATTATTCACTTCAGTTGATGCCTTTTTCAAGCAGTCATTCTTATTAAAGTTATGTTGCATTAAGAAATCCCTGTATATACAGACTGAATTTCAAGCTGTTTCATAACATCATAGAGCATGATCAACATTTTACACAAGATAATTTGGCTGCAAAAAGAAAATCTGTTCATTTGGAAGTTGATTGAACATAGAGAGCTAAATGTTTTATCTCAGATTTGTGGCAAGCATCAAATATTACCTCAGCAAATGTTCCCTGAGGAACACTTGCTAAATTCAGATGTAACAAACATCACACATCTAAAGCAAAATATTATATACTCTCAGTGTAAATGACTTTTAGACTGGAACTTCATCCATTCTTCAGCTCAAATGTTTTAAGTTAATATTTATGCTGAAGACTGGGAAAATCTTTGTGGAAGAAACATTGTCTTCAGTAATGTGTCTTCATTTCTTTAAATAAAATAGCTTGGTGGTTTTCAACCTGTAGTTATGTCTCTAAAGACATTACTAGTACTTCTCTAGGGAAAACACTGTCACTGATTTACTTTCCTAACAGCTTGAATCTTTTGCCATAGTGGGTTTTCTTAACTATTTGAAGTTATTCCTCAGTTTACAAAATGCCATGTTACGCCTAATCTTGTAGATAGCTCTTTGCAAATAAAAAGGATACAAACTTCTAGGACTACTGATTGTGGTAACTTAGTGTGAGATGGGGGGGAAGGAGGGGGGAGGTGGAATTGAAACTCCCAGCTGTAACTGATTGATTGTGTCATGAAATATAGCTTTTGAGAGAGCAGGAATTTTGCAAAAGTTCACTGAAATGAGTTTCACTAAGGTTGAAATAGAAGGCCAAATGATAATCATTAAAAGATTTTTCAGAAGGACTTTTTAATAGATTTATTTTATACTTTACATTAACAAATAAAACATGAATGAATCTCTTCACATGCAAAAATTATTAACTAAGTGACCTTTTTCTGTTCTGTTTTTTACACTTGTTCAGTGACTTTGGAAGTTTGTTACTTCAGCACATGTGCATAATAAACTTTGAGTAAGGGGAACCTTTTCTTATCTCTATAGATTATCAAAATTATTTTTTTATTTTAACCTTATGTAAAATTTTGAATTTAATTTTTGAAACCATTGCTTTTAAAAGTACTCTTCCTCATTGCAGCAGGATCACAGTAACCAAATTATTTGTTGAATCTGGAAAATTAAAACTGCAAACTCAAAACAATATGTTTAATAAAGTGGAACTGATAAATCTAAGAAATTAACAACTAAGTCATTTAAATATTGAAATTCCCCTTTAGAACAAGATACTGTGTACCTGAAAACAGTAATTCTGTGCCAGCCAGTATCTGCTCTGTTCCTTGAGAGACAGAAAGAACAATGCATCTCTGTCCCCTGAGTCTTTTGGGACAGGGAATGTCACAAGGGTTATATTTAGTCACTAGGAAGGGTACTGCATGTGTCATAAAGTAACATCCCTTTGGTGCTGACTTATTCAAAGTCATACAGTCCTGGATTTTTCCTACCTTCCTCCTTAGTGAATCTGACAAATGCAGCTGGTATCAAGGCGAGAGCACAGGATCATACAAAGAAAAATACAGCACAGCATAAATTGGTGACTTAAAACTACACTGAGTCCTGAGATTCTGCTATAGCTGTTGTGAGGCCTTTGAGGGGAAAGGTTAATTTCTGCATGCTTTTATTTCATTGTTGTAAAGTCCTCATTGTAAGTTATTTTTCATGGAAGTGGGGAAAAAAGGAAATGGTTGACTAGGATTTAAAAATAATTAACATCCCTTATATTAATTTATTAGTTCATATAGTCAATTAGCAAGAATAAAAATATTCAATTTTAAAACGGAGTAGAAACTGATTTCACAGGGTGCCCCAAATACACTTATTTCATAGGGAAACAAATGAAAGTTTTTAGAAGCCACAGGCTTTGTTTGTTGTATACTTACCCTGGATGAAATAAACCTAAGGAAACACAACCCCAGTCCCACTCCCCAGCCCTCCACCCTATTTGCCTCGGTATAAGCCTGTTACACCTGAAAGATTTGTTCGGAATGTCCAGTGGGAACCTGGAAATCGTAATAATTTGTAGTATCGATTGTGTGAAGCTATGCAGCTGGGGCCTCTAGTGAATAGACAGGAATAGACATTTTATTGATTAACTTTTACAGTCATATTTTCAGGACTCTGCTGCAACATAATTTTCACTTCCCAGCTTTGTGCTGCTGCATCATGAAACTTGGATTCTTCTCTCTTAACATTTACCCACCTGAGAGAAACAGTACAGACTTGTCTTTTTTAAGCTGTGGTCTGCAGAAATGCATAATATTCGGTGTGGTGAATTCTTTTAAATTTCCCCTCTGCTGTCACAGTAAAATGAAAAATCTTCACAAGTGATGTTAGCAAGTATTGAACAAGTTGCACATCCTCTCTAACCCCCCATTAGATGCTATTTGTAACATCTTCTAGTAATTCTATTTCTCCTTTGCATTTTCATTCTTATTTTTTAAATGTGTAAGATTGTGGCAAAAACAACCCTCCTTTTTATCCACAAATTCCATAAATGCTTGAAAGGAAAACCATAATGAAATAGATGCTTCTATTACTTAGTGAAATTTTAAAAGGAGAATAAAAAATGTTCACTTGAAAATCTGAAAGGAATTATCACTAAAATCTGATTAATTTTCAGGAATGACATTTTGAATTAACTAAAATTGCTTATAAGATTACTGAGAGGACCAGATTTCGGTACAGTTACTAATAATTTAAAAAATATCTGTAGATGTACTGAATTCTTATACAAACAAATCCCCAAAACCACTTTTTTTCATTTCTGGTGCTATAAATTTCCAGAAAAGAACAAAAATGTCATTATGCCATTGTGAAAAGGACTGTTGCATATTTTCTGGTTTCTTTAGAATGGGTTAGCTTGTACATTAGATTCCTAAGCCATTTCTCTTTCATGCACTTAGAAAATTGCCAGTGAAATCTTCATGCACTTCTATTCATTCAGTGGCTGTTTATTATTAGTTACTTTATGCACTTACTTTCATATAAACCATGAACATAAGTTTAATAGTGCCTTGTAGGCTAAATATTCACCACCCCATCACTGGTCTTAATATGATTTAAACCTCTGTCATCCCACTACTTTTTCTATGCTGTGTTGCTATTAACAACTTCTAATTATAACAGTGCTTAAGATATTCGTGGTCATGTTTCCTTTTGTCCTTCCCCTCTCATCAGAGACCTGGTGGTGTGCACCATATGGAGCTACAACTGAGGCAGAAGCTCTCCCACCCATAGCAATGGGTTCACTTTGTTTACCATTGTCAAACTTATGACTGAATAATTCCTATTTTGTATAAAAGAATCAGGAAAAGTGTGGAGGACTTAAAGGTAAGAATAACAACATCAAATAAAGAGGATAAGTAGCAACTTTCTCAAGACGTCAGTGTCTGCTAGTCCTGGCATAAGTAGAGATAAACTCAGTCAGGTGAAGAACTAAAAAATTTGAAGAAACAGGTAAGCTTCTTCCTATGCATGTGAAATTAATGTATTATTTAACAAACTAATTAATAACAGTATCAGATTTTAATGGCATCCTAGGCCCCAATCTTTCAAACATATGTGAATGCAAATCACAGTTTCACAGTTTTGTGAAGCCAATTACCCTATAAACATACGAAAAGCTGTTCCCAAGCTTGCAAGATTGAAGATGAAAACTGCTTTAAGGATCACTTTTTATTTTGTTTTGTAGTTGTGATGTTTTATTATAAAAATATTGAATTATGAAGTAAGGATTACAGGAAATCACTGAAACGTCTGACTATATTTTAATTTAGATTAATTTATTGGAAATCCAAATTAGTGTTTGTGTGTGTGATTTAGTCAAAGAACAGGGAAATGATATTCCCTCTTCTGAATCTTTGTGGAGATATTAAATATGATCAAAGTAGTATTTCAGTAAATTTTATATGTTCCAGGTAGATTATCCCCTAAATGCTTAGGACTCCGTGCATAGCATGTTAACTGAATTTCTAGATTTCTTATTTAGTTTCTTTCTCCTTTTCTATTTTGACATATGCATTCTAAGGCTTCTTACAGTTTTGGTAACCTTTTCATTATGAATTAGGCAAGGTAAATTTTAAAACTTTTAAGAGGTAAAAAATTTGAAATGTTTTAAATGTTTATTAAATAAATTAGATGCAAAATATAACAAAATGTTTCTTAAAGCATTTTTTTACACTGTACAAATTCAGGACTAATTCCAGTTCCCAGTTTTAATCACAGAATTCTAAGGTTTATTGTGACATAGCTGAAGGCTGCTTGACTCCATTACTTTATCCTTTTCTCTAAGAGATATTGCTAATCTGAAATATTTTAATCAGCTTGTGCCATTTAGTTTGATTTTTAATTTCTAACTATTACTGGAAAAAGTAAATAAGACATTAAGTAAAGAAAAATTTGTGTTTATTAACTTTGACATTATCTATTACACAAATATTAAAAAAAACCCCAACAAAATCATTATCTGTTCAAGATATGATCCTATACATATGTGTCTTCCCAGACACTGCAGTTATGACTGAGAAAAGCTGAATTGATTGCAATGGAAATCTACCTGACAGTAAGTATTTGCAGAGGCAGACAAAATTATTTAAGAAAAGAGAATATAAAATTAAGAAAGACAGATGGACTCATAAGAGTGAAATACAAATAGTCTGAATCAGGATTGATTTCAACATAATGTGGTGGAGGAATCCCCACTTATTGATCAACTTTAAAGCCCATGCACAGCACTTAAAAAGATAAAGTAAGCAAGGTCAGATAATCAAAGCATTTAAATAGTAAAAACAGCAACTGCCACTGTAGACTGGTAAAATAAATCCATAATACAAATTGCTTTAGCAAAAAGTGGATGAGCAGCTGATCTTCCTATTGAACTTTTATACTGTTCAGTGACCACACTGGGGAGAGGATTGGAAGAAATGCCTTGAAGATCAATATTGAGTGAGAGGTAGCAGGGATTCATTCTGAACATGAAAGAATTACAAGTGTGAGAGCAGAGATCCTGAGGAAATGTCATCAAGAAAGATCCGTTCTTTTAAAATATCACATATATTATATGAACATACTATTAATTGATATCCTGTTATGATCTTCATGCATTCAAAGCTTATTAAATCAGAAATTTGTTTACTGAAAAACATAAAAATAGGACAAAAAGAACTAATGACTTTAATGAAATTAGTTCTAAGCATTTAGTAACCCCTGTCTTCAAAACAAGGGGAATTTTAATCTTCTTAATTAATATAGTGTTCAGTTGAGGCTTCTACTTTCCAGCCATATGCATTTCAAATTTTTGCTGCACAGGAATGATGAACCCAAATATTTTGTTTTTTCTCTTTTTTGATCTTTTTGGGTTCTTTGAAGATCAACATGTACCTGCAATTAACATGTTTAATATAAGTGCTATTTCTTCACATTTATTTGAAAGAGAATTTTTGCAGACATTTTAAATTTTCTGTAGAAAATACAATGCTGTAATGAAAGTGCTTCAAATTTCAGTTTTTCTTAAACCTGTATAGACTTTTCATTTTAAAACAGGTGTTAAAAAAATGCCATAGCTTTCATTTATATATTAATTTTTTCCAGCACTATTCAAAGAGTATTTGTGAGAAAGAAATACTAGAGGTGGAAGTACTACAGTAGCTCATTGTTTCAAATACATTGTTTTCATTCACTGTTTTATTATATCATTGTATGAGAAGCACTGCATTTTCATGGATATATTACCCCTTTAAAATGATGAATTCTTCTTTTTCCTTTATTTTTGACTGTAATCTTCCTTTACTTTCAGGTTCATTATTGTACCTATAAAAATGGTGTTATTTTTAGAAATTAATAATTCAAGGTGTGCTGGTATTTACATTTTAAAACAATAAAAATGGAACACTAAAACTAGGGTGTTTCAAGGATATAGAAAATATATTAAAAAAGAAAAAAGTAAAGTGGGTATTTGTGTTCTCTTTCAAGATCCTTTTTGACAAAATATGTTAGACTAACTGATTCCTAAAATCATGAAGTTTGTTTGCTATGGTTAATGTACCATACACCCTCTTGTAATGTATAATTATTTACAACTAGTATTGGCTCCATTTTTACTGTATGAATTGCTGATTATAGCAATTTCAGTGGTAAAATTGTGAAAAACCATATTCACAGTTGTCAAAGAAAGGTCAGCTTATTTGCATTCATTAGGAACTTGGAGGGCCATATAACATGCTTTTCCTTCGGGATTCTTATGGTTATTGATTTGTATACAACTGTAGGAAAAATTAATTGGAATTATATTTCACTTACCACTGGAGGCTGTATATTAATAACAATGGAGTTCTACATTAAAAAAAAATAAATTAGAACCAGCAAATTAACTAATTGTAATTTTTAAAAATCAAAATTATTATACTTAACTTAAAAAATAATGTCTTTTGAATAGCTGGAAGGAGTCTTTTAGTGAACTTTTGTTAATACTTTTAGTACTTTTATTTGCACAAAAATGCATAAGCACTTATATTAATGTGACATAAAGAATTCAAAACTTCCTGTTTAGTAATGGTCTTTATAGATGTTTATAAACCAAGACAATATTCAATCATATTTTAACCTTCCTTATATAGTGAATTTTTCTTTTATAACTGTATAATTACTAACCCCAAAATGTAATTTAAATATATGAATAATTCTGTCCTAAAAAAAAATCTTACATTTATAGTCTAGTCACTAAAGACCTTTCAAGACCAAGAAAGGTCTTGACCAAAGACCAAAATCATAAGTCAATGTTATAGTCATCCTTGACTGCTAAGATCTTTAGGTATAAAAAAATATGGGTAACGTCTTCAAAAAATATCTACATGGGAAACATACCAACAATGTGGGGTCAGGTAAAGCACATTATCTACATGGGAAACATACCAACAATGTGGGGTCAGGTAAAGCACATTGTCAAACTGTGACAAACCTTTGTCTAAAAGGATAGAACTTCATATTTAAAGATAGCAGTGATGCTTAGGTGGCTTGCATTTGAAACCTTGTTTGTATTACATGGATAAATACTCCAGATGATTAGTGCATATTTCTGTGAACTTTTAACACTTTAAATGGATTAGAATGTCTTATTTTGATCATATCCATATTGTTCATTAAGATAAGATTAGGTCCTTAAAAAATGTTTGGCTTTTTTCCATTACATTCAAAAATGTTTAAAGTAGAAAATGTAGAATACAGTTTTCCATAGTGTGCATATATAACACATGTTTGAGATTAATCAAATCATAGTCACCTCTAATTAACAGCAGGGAGCAATTCCAACATGGGACAGGGCCAGATGACTAAGAAATGAAGCATATATTTGAAAGATGCAGAATACTAAGAAAAGGAAAATAGCTTATGCCTTGTGATTTAAAAATACTGCAAAATTTTTGAACCTGTGGTTCTGTACATGTGATTTAAACCATTAACCATACATTTTATTTTGCTTTGTTTTATAGCTGTGCCAAAAAATTTCAGAACCCTACAGTCTTGTAGGTAAATACAATTTTCTTTCATTGTTAATTCTTTTTAATCTTCATAATTAAAAATCTTAAAAATCCTGAGCATTGCAAGTTCAGATGAGCAGGTTTTGTTTTTTTCAAATTCTAAAAATGTCTGATTTGTATGCCAAAATTCAGTAATTTACCATGGTGTTTGCTTAGCACCACAGGAAAAGCAGTGATCAAGGACATACATTGAAGTAAGTTGAATCTTTCCTCCTGGCTTTTTTTATTTTTATTTTTTTTTTAATAGGAAGTTTTATAGCTGATGAAGAAGAAAACTCTAGAAAAAGAAATGATGTGTGATGAAGACAACTGGAGAACTAGATACTTTCCTGTCCTTTCCCTCAGACATAATGAAGATACTACCTCTGAACTTCTCTGAATATCCAGTGTGAGATGCTGCTGTCTGATCTGGGGTAGACTGAACTTTGCCAAGAACAACTGTAGGCAATATTAATTTGCTTTGAACAGTTAAAGGTCTTTATAAAGAAGCATTAACAAAAGACATGAGAAAACAATGTTCAGTTGTACCAAGGTCTCTGACTGGGAGTTTGTGCCAAGGTCATTCTCATTGCTGTGTAGGACAATAGCTCCAGAGCACACACAAGTTTTTCTGTTTCTCAGTGATTCAATAACTGCTAAACTTGCCTATGAAAAGGGGAAATCTCTACAAGAAAGACTAGAGAGCAATTCCTCTTAGATCAACATGGAATAATATTAGTTCAAACTGTTCAAAATAAAAAGAGAAATTAATCTCTGTTCTCATATATCCCAAATGAGAGCTCTGATATAAAACATTTCACTTATTTTTTTCCTTAATGTGAGCCTCCTTATCTTCTTTTACCCCGCGTTCCCAAATCCGTTTACTTCAGCTGCCTATGTATAAAATGATAATAGAGATGTATTCTCATATCATGGATGCTGTTATTTATGAAACACTCAGACACCATTGTGTTGAAAATCAGTGACTTTATTTATGTTGTCTTTCTCGTTGTGTCCCAATGTGAGCTGTGTTTCTCAGTTTAAGTCATGTAAGCTGGTGTATAGAGACATTATCTGTAGGCTGCAGATTGAGAATTTGCCACTGAAAGGACTAGAAGTTTTTCCAAGATCTTGTTTTGGACTTTACTATTTTGTAGAGTGTCCATGATTTTTAAAAATCATTACATGAGTATTAATTTGTAGGTTTGGACACTCAGATAGAGTAAAATATATATATTTAATCCACATCAGTACATGAGTATTGTGCTCTATACACTAAAAGACAAATTATAAGAAATAAAAATGTTTAAGTGTTTGTCTGCTAAGCGATAAAAGATATCATACAAGCTGGATGTTTAAAGAAAGGGATACTACCAAGTGATAAATCTAAAAACATGCAAATATGCTTACCTAGGTCAGACAGAAATTATTACACTTGGCAACATTAATTCTGATGTATGGGGAATGCTGAATGCCACAGTAATGTTTTTTTAAAGTAAAATCTGCATCAGAGCTTGTTTCCAAGTCAGAGATTTCAAGAGATACCCACCATAAAAGTAAAATTGAATCAATGTCCTTTATATGGATATTTTTCAGAAGGAACACCTGAGAAGGGGTTCCCTGCTTGGTGTGCTGTATTGTCTGACTTCATCAGATCAGACGGAGATTTGGCATGCAGTTCCTCTAGCAGGGAAGTAAGAAGGTAGCAAAAACCCCCAGGAAAAGTGCATGCCATAGCACAGCACCAACCTTCTCCAAGACACAAGAATTTTCAACAGAATGGATGTAGAACTTAGACAGATGATAGTTCACTCTCTCTGCATGCATATTCACTCATATATTTATTTGCTAATATTTTCCTTAGAAATATCCATATAATTTTCATTTACACTTTTCAAGACAATTGGCCTGCCTTGAGCAAAAACTCGGCAAGACAAATTTCAGTCCAAACAGATGAAGCAGGGAAAAGCTCTAGGTAACTCAAAAGTGTGTCTGATAATAGAAAGTTTTGTGGTAGGTGGAAGAATTGTATACAGCTGTAATGGCACCCTGCAATCAATAAATCTACAACAACTGTTTTTTTTTAAGACATCATCTTGATGAAACTGGTGAGTGTGCAAAGGATTTTTTGCCCATAGACATCAAATGAAACTGAAAATAACAAATTCTAATGAAGGAAACTTAACCTTGATGTAAGTGTAATACTGCCTTACCTATCATTTTCAGAATTGTGTATTAGTCCTTTAAGGATAAACATCATCAATATCATGCAAAATTTCAATATAATTTTTTAAAGCAAAGAAATAATCTTGTTCTTTTCTTGAGTTTTTTCAAAATTGTAGTCAGAGATTTATAAGGGTTAGACTTTGTCGTCTATTGCTGTCTTCAGTATAATCTACAGCAGCCACTACCTCCTCCTAGAACCAAGAGGAGGGTTGAGAGACTGCCGTGACTTTGTTTGATTTAACATTTGATTTCAAGTTAATTGATTAACATTGATTTGGAATTCCCTGTCAGGTGGATATTTCAGTTGTCAGAATTCATAATGGCAATATGCATCCTATTTCTAAATCTGGTAACCCTTATCTGGTAACCCTTAAGATTACATGAGAGCCCTTCTTAAGGCTAAAAGAACTTTAGGTCTGCAAAAAAACACTTGAATGTTTTGAAGTAGAAACTTTTATCATTGGACCTGACAATGTTGAGTCCATCCTTATCATTATAGACTTCTCGCCAGACTTGAGTCTTGTAGATTGTTGTGTTGACTAATGTTAATAATAGCCCACTCATTTCCTACCGAAAATGAATGGAATTTTTCTGAGTGGCTTGGCTGATTTTGTTTCAGTTTGGTGGGGTTTTTGTATATTTGTTTTTTTTGTCTGTAGCTGTTGTGGCCCAATCTACTCGGTGGGTTAAGGGCAAGGTTGTTTGATTTACTCTGAATGGTGCGCAGGAAAAAAAACCAACAAAATTCTCGGGAGGTTCAGTATCAAACTTTTACTTGCAAACTTTAGAACATTTAAGGCAAAATAAGGTACTTGTCAAATTTTAAAATGTAGCAATTTTGGTTAGAAAAGCAATAATAAAAATCATAAAATTAACTTGAGAAAACGAATAAGAGAAAAGGAAAAAAGCGAAAGTATAGGAGTAGAAAGGTATAAAATCATCACCTGTGGATCCAGAAATTAGACCTGATTTTTGAAATTTTGAGATCTCTTGGTCAAAGTGAAGCTGCAGTCTTGACCCACCACAGGTGGGGGTAGCCTTCAGTTTGGAATGAAAAAATAATTTTATACCTAATGATATTCCTGGATGGAAAAAAATTACAAATTTTAAAGAAAGCATGAGCAATAGCTGCGGTAATAACATCTAACTCTTGTCTAGCAATTTACATTCAGAGATGTTATATTTTGCTAGGGATGTGTGATTTAATTTGATTTTTTTAAGAATACTAGGATTTTGTATAGATGCATGTGTATTTATGTATTTATTGGGGAATAAAACTGATTTTTATAGATTTGGACTTTGAAGCACAAGGTAGTGAAGTGTCTTGTCTTAGGTATCAGCAAAGATAAACACGATACCACGTGAATAACGGGACGTGAAAATGACCAATTGATAACGGCAAATGAACGTGGGAACTCACAGGAGCCACCTATTCTACTGAAACTCTATGAACTGAGAATCCATGGGAAAAAAGGCAGTGCATTTTTTTCATTTTTCTTTCTGTGAGAAAAGGAACAGGCAACTTGGTGTTGGAATTGGTGTTTATTAAAGGGGGAAAGTGCACACGATCTGACAATATTTGCATTCCGTTTTACTCTACTGTAATTTTCTTGTCCACTCTGGAGGTTTGGATTAAATTCATTTTCTATTGATAAAGCCATGTAAACTCAAGAAAACTAGTTTTCTCTGCCTCCTCTTCTCTGGCATATGTACTTATATAGAGAAATATCTTTTTTTTAATTTATTTTTCCTTCTGACTCGATACAGTGTAAAAAATAGTGAAGTTTGAGTGCTTACACTCCTCACCTCTGTAATTAATACACAGGAAAGGAAGTATTGAGATAAGTGGAACAATATAATAAAGTGTTGGTTTAAATGGGATACTTCTAGAAAAAGAAATAATTTGCAGGAATGAATGCTTTTCCATCTAAATTGTACCATGTAATCTAAACTGGTTTTAAGCTTAAAAAGTATGTAAATCAGAGAAAAAGTGGAAGAAGGGATTGGCTGGACACAACAAAAACCCTGCCTTGTGCAGGAGTAGCTTTTAGAAGAACAGGCTCAGGTGAGAATTCTCCAGCTGGACTAGGTTGCAGTGAAGAAACTGATAAAATACTATAGTACTCAGGTAATAGCCTTGGTACAGTAAATTAAATTGAAGCTTAATATTTGAAGTAATATAAATGAATGTTCCTCCCTTATTTTTTCACTAGAAAAAAATCACTATTATTATTTAAATAACATTACCTGTAAAATTCACTTTCAACACATGAGAGTTATTACTGAAAATGTTTAGTCAACATAAAAGAGCATTACTTCTTTTTAAACTCCTGTGGGTGGGATTGGTCTTGTCTAACTTTAGAATTCCACTCTATGTGGAAATACAGGAGGGAAGTTCCTAATTTCCCATTATGGTTATTGGAGACTTAATCAATTCAGAGTGGAGCCAAGAGCCGAGCAACCACTGGGACAATTGAGTATTAAAGTGTGTTTTCTGACCAGTCTAAAAAAGTCTCCAGATTTCAACCAGGCCTCCACCCAATGCAATGGAATTGCAGTCACACATAATCAACTAAATGCAGATGTACAAACTGATGATCTGGTGAGTTACCTTTCTCCAGTAATTCATTAAATTGTACAAATTATTTTATTTATTTATCTGTTATTACTAAATGTTTTGCAGTCATTAATACAGGTCATTGCTCTGTAAAATAATATTTAAACACAAGAATTTAAAAGGGAGTGATTTATGACATAGAGGAAAAAATTAAAATAATAGATGATCTTTCCTGTGTCTGTGTGTTTTATTGTTTATATTTAGGGTAATTTTTTCTCTTGCATTTAGATTTGTTTGGTTGGTTGCTGGCAGTGTATTTTTTTTTTAATAGGAAAACAAAAATATGAGAGAATGTGGGAGATAAGAAATTGGGAAAATAGAAAAAATAGTAGAATGACAAATACCCTTTTCCACCCTACTGTTACCATAACATATCAATGTAGATTGATTATTTGCTGTATTATTTCACTAAAGAAGCATATTAACTCTGGACCTTGGCTGAACCTTGAACAGAAAGAATATAACATGTTTATTTTACTGAAATTTGTTGCCACCTGTGAATCAGATGGTTGCAAAATGTTTCCATTGAAAATATTTAAACATTTGGAGGCAAATAGAAAAAAAAAAAAAGGATGCAGGTTGGATAAAAGAAACATATTTTAGTTTTTGAAGGTTTCACTACATGCAATTTCAGTGGAAATAGTAGCTGAAGAATTACTACACAAAACTTGGACCAATTTTTTTCATTTATTTTTATGGTTTTTTTGCATTTCTGGTGTTTCTGAAGTATATCCCTCAGGGTACTAAAAAATTTAAAATACAGTAAATTTGTAGTTGTTTACTTGAATAAATATTTCATCATAAGGTGACTTGAGAGAAAAGAAAGATTTAATGTAGAGGTAAATATGAAATGAAAATCAAATCAAGCAAGTTAAATAAATCATTCTAACACTTGGATTATCAGTGTATCATCAGACTAATTTTTTTATGCATGCTGATTCTTCCCCAATAGAGGCAAATTGCCACTGGGAGCAACTGGTGCCATTAAGCTTCCAAATTAGTCAGTTCTCCAGCTAAGTAGCTTGGGAAGGTACACTGAAAGTTTCATCATTCTAAAGACTCTATTTATTATCTTTACTTATGTTAAGAGTTCATTAGAAAGAATTTTACATTGAAATATGGTAACTTTTTAACTTCCTTTAATGCAGTCACGCATCTTTAACTGCCAGACATAAAACTGCTTAATTCTGTGGATATTAATGGATTCATATGTCATAAAGCCAGAAGAAACAGTGTAATCGAGTCTCACATGTGACACAATACAGGCCATAGGACTTCAGTGAATTAAGTGGTACGTCATGTCTAAGTAAATGTGGCTGCAATGGAGCATATTAAAATACAGCATACATTTTTTTAATACATCCTTGACTTAAAAAAGCCACTGTAACAGAATTCATGACAATCCTTCACAGATTCTCTCAATAAATCCAGCTTTTGAGAACATGCAATATGTAGATTCTGAATATTTTAGCCTCTTATTCATAATGTCATATGAAACTTAATATAGAACTAAAGCATGTTATCTTTTCATCTTAATCAACGGTACCTGAAATTTCTTAAAACCAATATAGCACATAGTAGGACAAGCTGTGTTTACAGGACAGACACAGTAATTTCTTGTATTTGTATTAATCTAATTATATTAATCTACATGTGTTCTTTATATCTACAGTCAATGCAAATTAATATGGATTTATGATAACATTCCTTCAATAGTTTGAGTGGAATAGATTAGTAAATGCCAGGCAAAATTATTTCAATCTCACAGTTAGACCTAAAAAAATATTAACAGAGAATTTGTAGAGCATTATATTATGAGTTTTTAATTTTTAAAATACCTTTCACAGTTTCAAAGACCATACAGCCTAAAACAGTCTAGAATTTTTTTTCTAATAGCTCTTCAAAAAATCTTAGGAATTCTACATAGGAAAGTAAAAATATCTATGTACTTCTGTGACTGCAATCATTTTTATCCTAAACAAGGTACTATGAATGCCATTGTCACTTTTGTTTTCTTAGATGTCTTCTCTTTTGAGGATGGAGTGATGCAGATGTATATAATGTCATTGAACAAATTAGTGAAAGGATCTTACTTTTATATTCAGATTTCTTAGATTAATTAAATCCCACTCACTAATTTTTTGTGGTTTTTTTTTCTCTTAATACACTGTTTGTGCACATATGAACAGTGACATATGAGTGCATACATGCAAATCAATGTGCATGGTTATGTATATATGGAAGTTGTCACATAAAATTTATAACAACTTTAGGACGTATTTGCACCTCAAAATATTACTTGTTGAAAATTCTTCTTGCCAGAAGAATTAATAACTTCTAGTTTTGTAATTAATTCCTACTCATGTGTTTTAAATTGATAGAATCAATCAAAATAGAATTAATCATCACTTTAAAAATTAGTTTTAGAATTAGTTTAGTTTTTTTATAGAGTGGTATTTTAAAAAATGTTTCAAGATATTACTTACCTTGAAAGATAAAGTGTTCCTTACTTCGGTAGTTGTAGTTTAGCATCTCCAATACACTAATTTTCTCAGAAGTTTCTGAGGAGAGCTCAGCTTTTTTCCTCCAAGTCTAGTTCTAAACCCCATGTTTTAAAAGTCTTCACAAAGTTAATTTTAAATGTTCAGAAGTCTGGTAACTTAAAATAGGTTAACTTACCTTGCACCACACTTTGCTTATCATGTTTTTGAGAATATTGTTCCACTACAGATT